TTTTGCATTGAATGTTTCATACTAAAATATTCCTTGTGGCTGAACAGTCTTTGTTTGTTTTTGTCTTGTATTTATCCAGGCACCCTATTCCTTTGGTTGTTTTGGCCCAGTTTTAATTCTGCTATTGCAAATGACTCAGGCCACCGGACTATAGCAATTGTCAACACTTACTACTCCCTTGCTGCATGTACTGTTGTAACATTTGCCCTTTCCAGCCTGGTGGATGAGAGAGGCAAATTTAGTATGGTAAGTCATGCCAAACCCTCTGTTAAATTGAGTCAACCCTATAAAGTAAAGAAAATGCTGTAGATATCCAACATCTATGAGCTATTTGGGCCTTTCCTCATATTTTAGGCAAAATTAGCACTAATATATGCTTCTAAAAGGTCCAATGTCAGATTGGACCATGAGTCATCTCTCCTTGTGTGCGCTATCTTAGTGGGATCAGCTCAGCTGGAAAATCCAATTCTCTCAGACATTATACTTCTGCTCCCTTGCTCTTGCTTGCCCACAGAACCAGCTGTGGACAAGAGCCATTGGCAAATTGCTCCAAAGTTCAGGTGGGCTTTGGGGCCTTATTCCTAATAAATTCTTACATGAATTGTTCTATTGAAATAGCTAAAATAACTCTCTGAAGGCACTGACCAGTGGCCTGATATCTAAGAGTTCAGCTGCGCAGCAGCCAAAGTCAAATGCCTTTGGAGGTGTCAGGATTCCATGCTTTCCTCTCCTTGATCTAAAATCCATGTTTTCACTTTCAAGATGTTGCAGAGCTCATCTAAGCCCAACATGAGGCACTCCAGCCTAATGAATTTCAGGGTTTTTTTGTGGGATGTTGATCTTGTTGACTCAGGCTTAGCAGAAGTCTAGATGAATTTCAGTAACTTCACAAACAAAGGACAGGGATTTTGCTGTCAGAAGCCAGGATGGAGGACAAGCCCATAGCAGACCCAAGCTAAACTGGCTTAGAGTATTTTGAACAAAACCCACAATTACGTAATCTGGAGATACATTTTAAATTTGTATTCAATATTAATTGGACAATTCCTACCTAACAACAACAACAAATGCAAGCACATCTTACAAGTCATTCCGATCTCCCCCCCACCAAAGTGTTTATGCCGCATATATCATCTTCACTGCTGTATATCCTGTGCAGGTTCTCATTCAAAATGCCACGCTGGCAGGAGGAGTAGCTATAGGCACCTGCGCTGACATGTCAATCTACCCTTTTGCTGCCATGTGCATTGGGAGCTTTGCTGCAATCATCTCTGTCCTTGGGTTCAAGTTCTTGACTGTAAGTATGTGGGACCAGCCTCTGCTCTCATTAACTTTATCCCTTCATCGACTTGGTTTACTACAAAGGAATTTTAGTAATTGCCTTATTCTGCACACACAGAGTCTGCACATACTAGTTAACTTACTTTGAAATCAATGTGATTTAAATATATGGCACTGAACCATCTTGAATTTATCATTTAGATAAAAATGTAGACTAATCCTATAGATACTAAAGTTCATTGAACCTGTGATTTCAGTCTCAAGAAACTGGTAGAATTTTACTCCAAGGTCCATGTTTCCTTAAGAATTTCCATCAGAAGAACTGTGCTTCAGATTAATATTGAAACCGTATTAATTAAATTTCAGAGTTTTAAGATTTCTAAATAAATCTGTAATGGAAAATAATTTTGAAGTGAAAGTGTTTCATACACAAAATGTCAAAGCAAAATGTTCTGACTAATTTTGGTGCCTTATGGTAGAGCTGCTTGCTTTGATTTCAACAAACTAGAATTTCCTGATGGAGAAACACTCTGGAATAAAATAAGAGCCTAGTAGACTCATAACCAGAATATCTGTAGTAGCATTATTACAGTGTCTGAAAACATCAGGAGCATCACAGAACCACCATGTTTTATACCATTATACTTACAAATGCACACTGCATATTTGTGCCATTATGCTCAGCTACATGGCTTTCTCCATGTGCATAGTTTCATAATGAAGGGGAAGACAGAAGATTTCATAGTCAAACTTTACCTATATGGAGCATGTTTACTTGTTATTCTCTCTTTATTTCTTTTGCCTGTTGTTCTACAGATAATGGAAGACTATAACTTCACCATTAACTTTGTGTTCCCTTTTATTTCAGCCTTTAATGGCCTCCAAGCTGCACATTCAAGACACTTGTGGAGTCCATAATTTACATGGTTTACCTGGAATACTGGGAGGTGTTGCAGGCATCATTGCAACTGCAGTGAGAAACGAAAGAAGGTAAGTTATAGAAAGAAGAGAGAAGGAAGTTTCCTTTAGGGAAGGCTTTTTTTTTT